GTGTGTGTGTGTGTGGTGTGTGTTTGTGTGTGTGTGTTTGTGTGTGTGTGGTGTGTGTGTGTGGTGTGTGTGTGTGTGTGTGTGTGTGTGTGTGTGTGTGTGTATCTGAGTGCTGGTGCCCTCTTATATCCTCCCACACACACCCTTCGAGCAAAACATCTTTGTTTGGTGTTAGTTTGTTTTTGTTTGTTTGTTTGTTTTGTTTTGTTTTGTTTTTTTGAGTCGGGGTTCTCTGTGTAGCCCTGGCTGTCCTGGCACTCACTCTGTAGACCAGGCTGGCCTTGAGATCCCCTAGGATTGTGGTTCTCAGCCTTTCTAGTGCTGTGATCCTTTGACACAGTACCTCATGCTGTAGTGACCCCCAACCATAAAATTATTTTCATTGCTACTTCATAACTGTCATTTTGGTACTGTTATGAATCATAATGTAAATGTCTGTGTTTTCCAATATGAAAGGGTCATCTGACTCCCAAAGGGAACACAACCCACAGGTTGAGGACCACTGGTCTAAGGGGAGGAGAAACACTCCATCCTGAGGGTAGTTCATGAAGACCTGAAGCACACAACTCAAAGCAGCCTCAGGAAGTCCCTGAAGCTGATCAGATTCACTAGCCCCTTCTCCAAGACTATAGATGCTGTAACGACGGCTGAGAGGTGATGCTCAGCCAACTGGCCGCTTAAAAGAGGCTCATCCCAACTAAGGCACCTAGAAAGGATACCCTCCAACCTGCTGAGCTGCCTGTGTGCTCCAGGATCCCAGCTCTGTGAGATGTCACCCATGCTGGTGACACAGCTGTCTGTGAGTCTTTTCTTCTCCCAAGGCACCTGTGACGGTTTGAATAAGAATGGCCCCCATAGGCTCATATATTTGAATTTTTGTCATCAGGGCAGTGGCACAGCTTGACAAGAATTAGAAGCTGTGGCCTTGTTGGAGGAAGTGTGTCGCCGGAGGCGGGCTTTGAGATTTCCTTCTTCCTGCTGCCTGTGGATCTGGATGTAGACCTCTCAGCTACTTCTCCAGCACAATGTCTGCCTGTGTGCCACCACCTTCTTCCAGGTGGCCCCGCCCACACATACACTCATTCCCGGTCCACACACACACACCCTCCATGTACAAATTCCCCTGACACACACATCATCCCCATACACATCACCCCTACACACACACACACACACTCACATACCTAACACACACACTCACACACCGCGCGCGCGCGCGCGCGCACACACACACACACACACACACACACACACACACACACACCTATACCTACACACATTCCTGCCCCTACACCCCCATAACTCAGCCCACACCCCCACACCCCTCCACACCTCCATACAATCCACATCTCCCCACTCTCCACACACACACACAGGGTGAGAGGGATGTGTGTGAGGGGTGGGTGTGAGGGGGTTTGGTGTGAGGGGGCTGTGTGTGAGGGGTGGGTGTGAGGGGGTTTGGTGTGAGGGGGCTGTGTGTGAGGGGTGGGTGTGAGGGGGTTTGGTGTGAGGGGGCTGTGTGTGAGGGGTGGGTGTGAGGGGGTTTGGTGTGAGGGGGCTGTGTGTGAGGGGTGGGTGTGAGGGGGTTTGGTGTGAGGGGGCTGTGTGTGAGGGGTGGGTGTGAGGGGGTTTGGTGTGAGGGGGCTGTGTGTGAGGGGTGGGTGTGAGGGGGTTTGGTGTGAGGGGGCTGTGTGTGAGGGGTGGGTGTGAGGGGGTTTGGTGTGAGGGGGCTGTGTGTGAGGGGTGGGTGTGAGGGGGTTTGGTGTGAGGGGGCTGTGTGTGAGGGGTGGGTGTGAGGGGGTTTGGTGTGAGGGGGCTGTGTGTGAGGGGTGGGTGTGAGGGGGTTTGGTGTGAGGGGGCTGTGTGTGAGGGGTGGGTGTGAGGGGGTTTGGTGTGAGGGGGCTGTGTGTGAGGGGTGGGTGTGAGGGGGTTTGGTGTGAGGGGGCTGTGTGTGAGGGGTGGGTGTGAGGGGGTTTGGTGTGAGGGGGCTGTGTGTGAGGGGTGGGTGTGAGGGGGTTTGGTGTGAGGGGGCTGTGTGTGAGGGGTGGGTGTGAGGGGGTTTGGTGTGAGGGGGCTGTGTGTGAGGGGTGGGTGTGAGGGGGTTTGGTGTGAGGGGGCTGTGTGTGAGGGGTGGGTGTGAGGGGGTTTGGTGTGAGGGGGCTGTGTGTGAGGGGTGGGTGTGAGGGGGTTTGGTGTGAGGGGGCTGTGTGTGAGGGGTGGGTGTGAGGGGGTTTGGTGTGAGGGGGCTGTGTGTGAGGGGTGGGTGTGAGGGGGTTTGGTGTGAGGGGGCTGTGTGTGAGGGGTGGGTGTGAGGGGGTTTGGTGTGAGGGGGCTGTGTGTGAGGGGTGGGTGTGAGGGGGTTTGGTGTGAGGGGGCTGTGTGTGAGGGGTGGGTGTGAGGGGGTTTGGTGTGAGGGGGCTGTGTGTGAGGGGTGGGTGTGAGGGGGTTTGGTGTGAGGGGGCTGTGTGTGAGGGGTGGGTGTGAGGGGGTTTGGTGTGAGGGGGCTGTGTGTGAGGGGGACGTGTGAGAGGGGTGTGTGTGGTGGGGGTGTGTGACGGGGATGTGTGGGAGGGGAGTGTGAGAGGGGGATGTGTGTGCGGGGGATGTGTGTGACACACACACACACATATACCTCCACACACATCCCCCTCACACATCCCCCTCACACACACCCCTCACACACACTCCGCACCCACACCCCCCTCACACACACCCCTCCACCACACACCCCCACCCCCCCCCACAATCAAATATATATCAGCAATGTATAGTTTTGGCTAGTAGCCATGAATAGTTTTTGTTACTAGCATTCAAGGAACAGTAGTGATGGCAATTGTTGTGCAGTGCACAAATCACAAAATTGGGTAAGCAAAGATGATTGCTATTTAGAATGTCAGTTATGTCCCAAGCACCAAGTTGGGCATTTTCATATTTAGTTTTACTCCATTCTTGAAACACTCATTTGCTATAATTTGTTTCAGTGGTGTCAAAGACTGACCAGGGGGGAGTTTAGTTGCCAGAGGTCATTTAGATTTCAAGTCACATAATTGGAGTCAGTTGGCAGGCCCAGCTACAAGGTTACCTCACAAACACCACTGTCCCTTTACCGACTTTCTGCTTCCTTGCGGTGATAGCTTTAACAAAGTTGAAAATGTGTCAGGATGTATCTAATTATTTGCAGGGGTCTGCATTTTGGCCATCTTTGTTTATTCCTTTGAAAAGAATAATAGTGTGCATTATCAGTACATGGGCATTTTAGAAAATAAAGTGTATCTGGAATTCTTATGCAGGTAGTGGAAGCACTCCGGTCTTTGTTTTCAGAAAGACCTCTGGGGGACTGTGCCCTAGAGCAGTTTCTCCTCTGAATCTGCTTCACTGCCATGGAGTGGCTATGACTACACACACCCCTCACACACACCCCTCACACACATCCCCCTCACACACACACCCCTCTCATACACATCCCTCTCACAGGCACACAACCCCCCATCCTCCCACACATTTGGATGTCTCCTTCCCAACTAGTAACTGAGCCCTTTGTCTTTTTGATTTTTTTCTTCCTTCCTTTTATTTATTCATTTATTTTTATTTTTGAGGAGCCCCAGCTGGACTGGAACTCGCTATGTAGCCCAAACCAGCCTCAAACTCACAGGACCTGTTTGCCTCTGCAGGAGATCTGAGTGCCACCGTGCCCACTGCCCCTCGACCTGGTTTCCACCTTGACTCCTTGGGATCCCTGTGTGTCTCTCTGAGCCCCAGCTTTCTTTTCTGTAAAATGGCGGTATCATCAGCTCCCACATCATAAGAACACAGTGGAGACATCATCCTTTTGTTTTCCCTCTGTCCCCACAGCCCAGGTATACCTTCAGCTCTGGCATGCTGCTGATCAGCTCATAGGGAACTTTCACCTCAGGACAGGTGGTGTAGTCCAGGGGCACCAACTGGGGGGCCAGGTCCTGGTATCGATAGAAGAGCCTGGTGTGGGGAGAGAGAAGCCGGGAAAGGCTGGGAGCCAAGAGTCAGAAGGGACTTGTCCCTTTTCTTACACACTTTTTCCACAACGAAGAACACTGGGTCCCCAGGCACCTCGAGCACACAGAACCAGAAACGGGCATCTTTCTCGCCCTCCCCACAAACAAAGCCAAGGAGGGGAGGGGAAGTAGAAACCAAGTAATGAGGAAGAAGGGCTTCCTGGAGGAGGAAGCATTTGGTGTTGGGCTTACAAGTAGGAGTAGGAGTTGATCTGGAAGATGGAACTAGAAGAAGTAGGTGCTAATGACTGATTGGTCATTCCACAGCCAATGTTTGAGGGACCTGGCTATATAACCTATAGGATTCATTATTACATTGACAGGATCCTGCCTCTACTGACCCCTCCACCCAAGTCTCAGGCTTCCTTCACTCTCTGTACACTAGGAGGCAGGTTTCCCCATTGTAGCAGAGCACAGACAGTTAATGTTCAGACCCGCCCCCCCCCCAACAGTCTCCCTATATAGCCTAGGCTATCTCATGCTCCCAAGGGTGGGATGCCAGGCTTGTTCTACCACCTCTGGTTGGATTTTTAAAAAGGGAATCTACAAAACACTGGTGACACCGTACCCCCTTTAGAGTGCATAATAAACCTCAAAGCCACCATCCTTGACATCTGATGTCCCCAAACTGCTAAGAGCTTTCTCGGAGGGACTACATACCTGAGTACAGGGGATGAGGCTCAGTCCTAAGTGCCCCTTTCCCTTGTCCAGAGTTCTCCGGGGATGCCCTGAGTGTGTTTATCTTTCCTTCAAAAATATTTTTTACAGAGCCAGGCAGTGGTGGCACACACATTTAATCCCAGCACTCAGGAGGCAAAGGCAGGTGGATTTCTGTGAGTTTGAGGCCAGCTTGGTCCAGAGCTAGTTCCAGGACAGTCTCGAAAAAAATTTTGCAGTTATGTTATGTATTTACGTGTGTGTGTGTGTGTGTGTGTGTGTGTGTGTGTGTGTGTGTGTGTGTGTTACAGTTGTCAGAGGACAACTTTTGGGAGTGGATTCTCCCCTACAGTGTGAGCCCCAGGGTTTGAACTTGGTTCTCAGGCTTGGCAGCAAGCACCTTTATTTGCTGAGCCATATTGAAGACCCACAGAGTTTGTCTTTCTTTGGGACATCCAGCGAGCCCCTCTCTCCTCCCAGTTTCAGTTATTCTGTTTGACAATCTGGAAGCTTGGGCAAGTCAAAATGCCAGACTCACCAGGACTTTGCCTGTCTGCAGGTCTGGAAAGGGAAGTCCTCCATGCCCAAACCTCAGTTTCCCCACCAGTAATCTGATCATGATGGCCAAAGTGACCCTGCCAACTGTCCTCACACAGACAATGGGCTGATGGGTGAGAGGTGTGCCCATCAATAATGGATGCCCTGTGCCCACACAAGAGGGGCTCGCTCTGAGCGCCCCACAGCTGAACCCCGGCCGGCTTGGGTTTCATGGATAGTGATCCAACAGACAGGAGGGTGGCAAGGGGGGTTCATTTGTATCCATCTTGCCCAGCTCGAGCCAGGGACCTGCAGACACCCAGGAGCCACCCACCCACATCACAGTCTCTTTCACAGCATTCACAGCTCAGAGCTGATCTCAGCTCTGCACTGAACTCCCAACCTCAACATGCCAATGTGCCTTTCCAAGGCTCCAGCACCTTCTATGGCTCCCTTTACCCAAAGGTAGCAGGGATTACTCAGGGCAAAAACTCTGCCTGTATGACAGGATGTGACTTCTCAGCCAACCCTCTCTGCTCAGGCCACTGACCTGGAGGCAGCGCCCACATCAAAGCTGTGACCTTGGTGGTGCTAGATCTTGACTCCCTTCACATTGCAAAAGACACAGAGCATGGCGGAGCCCACTTGTGATCCCAGCACTCAGGTAGCAGAGTCAGATGGATCTTTGTGAATTTGAAGCCAGCCTGATATAGAGTGAGTTCCAGGACAACCAGGGCTGCACAGAGAAACCCTGTTTTTTTAAAAAACAAAAAAAAACAAAAAAAAAAAAAAAAAAAAAAAAACCAAAACCACCACCACCAAAAATGTAAGGGGAACCAAAATGATGAAAGACACTTGCTGACTTGCCACCAAGCCTGATGACCTGAATTTGACCCCTGAGACCCACATGGCATTGTAACTTCAAAAGCAGGGTTAGAGAGAAAGATGCCATGCAACAGAGCTCACATGGAAAGACTTTTTATTAGGGGAAAGGGAACAGGTAGAAAGGGAGAGAGGTGGGGGTTGGGGGTACTGGCCTCTGGGGACAGGAGCAACAGAAGAGAAGAGAGGTGGGAGGGAGACAGAGAGAAAGGCAGGAAAGCGAGAGAGAGAGAGAGAGAGAGAGAGAGAGAGAGAGAACAGACAGAGAGAAAGATGGAAGATAGGCCCTTTGAAAAGGGAACATAGCGAATGTGCACAGTTGTTGCTCTTAGTGGCAGCAGCTGAGGGAGTATCCTACCAGAACCCCAAGGGCAGGCCAGTACAGATGCCTGAATACTAACACATAGTGGAAAGAGAACATCTGAACCAACTGGACTCCATCCCCAGCACCCAAAGGAGGTAAAAAGGAATCATCTCCACAGATTACCATCTGAACTCTACACATGCACCATGGCACATTTGCACACACATTTGCACACTCACAAATCATGTTCCCCACAATAATGGTAATTTTTTTTAAACTTGCAGATATCTATAGCAGTACACACCTGTGACCTCAGGACTAAAAAAGAGAGGTAAATTCGAGGCTAACCTGGGCTCCTTCTCAAACAAAACAGAACAACAACCAAAAGATTGCAGACAGGCCCAGCAGTGACTAGAAAGTTGTTTTGGGATGTCACCTCCCCACTGACCTCATGATCTCCTTCCTCGTGAAGAAAGTACAGTCCTGTGGGGAGAGGAACCAGCTTGCCTCTGGGTTGTCTCTCCGCTTGCCCCTCCAGTCACTCCAAACCCACACAGATAGCCTGATGTCACAAACAAGGCTCTGCGGAGACTCTTGGCTGCCTGCATCCCAGACCAGCTGTGCCAGCTCAGGACTGACACCCACACCCACCTGGTATTCCTCCAGCTGCTCATGAGTGAACACAGTCTGCTTGTTGCCCATGCGGGGGACCCCAGTCTTGAATCCACTGGAAATGAAATTACAGGTGGCTCCTTGGGGGCACCCAGGCACATAGTGTCTGAGCAGATGTCCCTGCCCTGGCTGTCACCCGCCCACCCATTCAGTAACCCCAAGCTTAGTGAAGCTCAAGTTACAGCCTGGCTCTCTGGGCAACCATTTGAGTGTGTCCATAGGTGAGGGATGAGGGACGTCACAGAGGAGCCAGGCTCATCACATCTGGTGAGGCCAGTGGCCTAGGACACCTTCAGGGGAAGACCCCACACACACACACACACACACACCAGCTTAAATCCCAACTTTCCTTCTGCTGGCTGTGTGGTCTTGGATAACTGTCTGACCTCTCTGAACCTTGTTTGTGAAATGGAAATGACATTACCGTCTATATTATAGGATCAGTCTGCGGATGACAGACACTATGTTGGGTGTGGCTGAGGCAGGAGGATCATGAGTTCAAGGTCAGTTTGAAGCTGCATAGTTAGACCTTAGACCTTAGTGTGTGTGTGTGTTTCAAGACCTTATTAGAGAGAAAGAGAGAGAGAGGGGAGAAGGAGGAAAAGATTAAGAAGAGGTGGTGCACGCCTTTAATCCCAGCACTCAGGAGGCAGAGGTAGATGCATCTTTGTGAGTTTGAGGCCAGCCTGGTCTACAGCTCGAGTTCCAGGACAGCCTCCAAAGCCACAGAGAAACCCTGTCTTAAAAAACAAAAAAGGAGGAGGAGGAGGAGGCTGTAGGAGGGAGGAAGGTAGACTAGGGAGATGGCTCAGCCAATAAAGGACTTCCTGTGCACATCAGTAACCTCAGTGGTGAGGTGTCTGGAGTGGGATGGTAGGTTGGAAGAAGACAGGAGGATCCCTGGAGCTCACAGCTCAGCCAACCCAGGCAATCAGCAAGCTCTGTGTTTAATGAGAGACCCTGTGTAACACAAATAATAAAAACCCAGAAACAGATCTTGGGGTTCAAGCTGAAGATCAGAAAAGCAAAGCAGCCAACCCACCAGAGACTTCTCACATCTACCAAGGCTGGGGAGTTCCTGTCCTCAACATGGCTGGAGACTAACTGCCAGGTCTGAGGCCCTGTTCCTGCCTTATACACCTCTCTAGTCCTGGGATTAAAGGCATGTACCACCACCGCCCAGCTTCTGAGGCTAACTAGTATGGCTGCTGGGATTAAAGGTGTGGAGCACTATTGCCTGGCCTCTAAGGTTATGGCTAGCTTTGCTTTTCTGATCTTCAGGCAAGCTTTGTTAGATTATAAACAATGTATCCTCACAACCCTATCTCAAAAAGAACAGATGGTGAGTGACAGAGGAAGGTGCCAGGTTATACACGTGCGCTACACCAGGAATAGGAGGGTGTAATGAGGAGACTATTGGTCATAAGCCAGTTCTAGGCCCTGGGAATGCAGGGACCAATGGAGTCAGATGGAGCATGAGCACTGCACCCTGTATTCAGCGCTGAGTTAGACAAAGTTTTGTAAGAATTTAGCAGAATCACTATATTGGGGTGGACATTAGAATGAACAACTATTTCCTAGAAGTACTTTGACCTTGGAGAATCCTTGTGGAAAACAGTGATTATTTTGCTGAAGGGTGATGGCAGCAGTCCCATGACTTTGATCACAAAACACCTCAGGCACACCTGAGGCTCTTCTATTATTGTGTATTGCAAACGATACATAAGAAAGGACTAATTATGGGGGCATGTGATGCTCCCTATTAGTAAGACATGTAAATTATATTAGGGATCTTGGCGTGAGGAAATACTTTGTGTAACTTTCAATAACCACACCTTTGTACAGCTGTTGTGGGTTCAGTCCATCAGAAGAGGTTGGATTTTCCTGCTGCCGCCTAGGCCTTAAAATTTTATGTTGGAGTTCCCTTCTTTCTTCAACCACCTGGCGCTACCTGGTGCACCCCAACAACGAAGAAAGAGATCCAAAGTCTAAAGCTAAGAAACTGTGCTGTGTGGTTGGTCAACTTGACACAAGCCAGAGTCATCTGCGAAGAGGGAACCACAACTAAGAAAATGCTACCATGTACTTTTGACCTGATTTAAAATGCTAGGCATGAGCCCTCTCCAAGAAGAAAGTGGTTAGTCACAGCTGTGCCACTATTGAAGCAGGGCACAGCACCCACAGCTCAGTAAAACTGTTGGTGCCAGCTCTCTCATGCCAACCTGCTGCCGTAGCACAGTCTGGAACGGTTAGAGCTGGCCAGCAAGGAGGAAGCTTCCGGTTGGCTCCTGCTTGGTTTCTCTGTGTCCAGCAGCCAGAGAGTCTCTACAGCAACAGGGTCTGATGTTCTAGTTCTGCTGGGGGTAACCAACAAGCCATTTCTAAGAAGCTATTTGGGTGTATTTTGTACTGAAACTGGGGGATGTGGTAAAAGGTTAAATAGGTCGTTTTTCTTTCCTTCCTTTGCTATTACAAAACAGCAGATTTTCGAGTCTAGACCCCACTCGTTCTGAGTGCTTGTCCCCAGTCCCCACCCCTTTTATGCCCTCCTTTCCTTCCCTGGTCATTTGGGGAAAGCTGTCAGAAGCTACCTTTGTCCCACTAGGGTGCAGGGGAGAAGTCGAATGTTACGCCTGTAGTTATAGCCATTTCTTTCTACATGCAGCCTCTTCAGGGTCAGTGCTATGCAGAGATACTGGGTGGTTCTTGCTTCCCTCTTCCTCCAGTCCTCCCCCTCTGTAAGGGGCCGTTTCCTGCATTATAATGGTGCCTGAAGACACCAAGATGTAAATTACTTCACAGGCGCTGGGTAATCTCCATTCCTTTGATCTCTGCCTATCCCGTGGCTCATTTTGGCCTGAGGAGCTGAAGCCATTCATAGGGTAACACGTCCCAGGCGGCTGGCCAGCCTTTATAAGGGATGGTTTTCTTGGTTTAGTGTCTCCGCTCAGTCTCCACTCTGGGAAGCTTATGCTCTTTCACTCTCAAGACGCATTAAAGCTTGTCTGCAGAAGGATCCGAGTGTCCCGTGTATGATTTCTTGCTGGCGAGAAATACAGAGCGTGCGGGACACCCCTCCTCCTCCTCTGCCTCCATCTCCCTCTCTCCTCCTCGTCTTCCACTCTTTCCCTTTGACTCAGTCCTAGTCACTGCTCAGTCCCTACTTCACTGAGGGCACTGACAGAACCAACAAGGCTAACTAAGCAGAGGCTGGATAACACCTATGCCTCAGTTTCCCTATCTGTACAATGAGGATGTTCTACCTAAAGGAATGTCTGTGACTGTGAAAGAAACCAATCTGAGGGCTGGAGGGATGGCTCAGCCGTTAAACGCTAGGCTCACAACCAAAAATATAAGAAACCAGTCTGAATAAGGATTCAGAACACCAGCTACTGCTGCTGTCATCGTGACAGCATTGCTAGGGATCAGAGTTCAGAGAAGTCAAGACAGTGCCTCAGGGACACACAGCTTTAGGTGTTCAGGGAAGGATGTTCAAAGTCATCCACACTCACCTCTGAGACCAAGATGCTTGGCTGCTTGGGAAAGAGCAGGACTTTTGTTCATTCATTCAGAGAGAGAGAGAGAGAAAGAGAATGCCAGGATCTGTTTATGGAGAACTACCTTTGTTTGTTTTCTATAACTATGATAAATACCATGATCAAAAGCAACTTGGGGAGGAAAAGCCTTATTTCATCTTACAGTTTATAGTCCACCCTGATAGGAAGTGAGGGCAGGAACTCAAGACAGGAACCCAGGGGCCAGACACTGGAGCAGAGATCTTAGAGGAAATCAGTTTCCTGGCTTGCTCCTCATGGCTTGCTCAACCTGCTCTTTTCTTTTCTTAATTTATATGTGTGTGTGTGTGTGTGTGTGTGTGTGTGTGTGTGTGTGTGTGTGTGTCCAGTGCCCATGGGGGTAAGAAGAGGTTATTGGATTCCCTGAAACTAGAGCTACAGATGGCCGTGAGCCACCATGTGGGAGCTGGGACCTCAACCCCATCCTCTGCTAGAGCAACCAGTGCTCTGAACTGCTGAGCCTTAGCACTGGGGACCATCTGCCCAGGGCTGACACCACCCACCGTACAATACAAGCCAATCTGACAGGTATTTTCTCTTCTTTTCCTCCCTCCTTCCTTCCTTCGTTCCTTCCTTCCTTCCTTTTTTTTCAGGAGACAGGGCTTCTCTGTGTTACAGCTCTGGCTATCTTTGAACCCACTCTGTAGACCAGGCTCGCTCACAGAGATCTGTCTGCTTCGGCCTCTCGAGTGCTGGGACTAAAGGCGTGTGCCACCAGTGCTGGGCGAGAGGTAATTGCTTAATGGAGGTTCCCTCTTCCCAGATGAGTCTGGATTGACAAAAACTAACCAGTACCATGTCAGAAGTCAACTTTGGTTCTCTCTTTCCACCATGTGGTTCCCAAGGATGAAACTCAGGTCATCAGGTTTAGTGGCAAGTGCTTTTACTTGTTCAGACATTTTGCCTGCTCAGACATCTCTGTTAATTTGTGAGGTGGCCGGGTGCTGGCAGCTATCAAGCACCACCCAACAAGTTCATCCTGTCCTGCCTGGGTTCCAATCAGCCTATGGCCGGATCAGGCAGTGGCCTGCTGCCCCCTGCAGGTGACACTGGGAAAGGCAGGTGCCAATGCCTCCCTCCCATAGATGTGTTCTGTTGGCCATCATGCAAATCTCCCTAGAATGTGGGGGTGTGTGCTGGCATTGCAGTAGTTGGGAGACTGAGGCAGGAGGGTTGCAGGTTCATGGCCAGCCTGAGATGCTGTCTCCCAAAGCAAGAAAGGAGTGGGATATGGTGGCGCACGCCTTTAGTTCCAGCACTCAGGAGGCGGGGCTGGTGACTCTCAATGAGTTCAAGGCCAGCCTAGTCTACATAAGAGTTCCAGAATATCCAGGGATACATAATGAGAACCTCTTTTAAAAAGGGGGCATGGAAGCGGCCAGCCAGGTGTCTCAGCTGGTGAAGGCATTGCCACGTGAGACAGCCTGACTTACATTCCTAAGACATATATAATGG